ATATATATATATATATATATATATATATATATATATGTATATAAAATTATTCTTATTTTGAGACACTATTTTTCACATCTGCTTGCAAGCAGATTTTTTTTTATATTATTTTTTTATTATTTTCCCTACATATTTTAAGTTTCGAATGCAAGTATCACGAAAAAGAGAAGAACACTATTTATTCCGATTCGTTCGAGCAATCGAAGTTAAACTCGAGATTGGAGGAACATTCCACGCTGCCTTTTTAAACCGTCGCGACTCGAAGGATTGTCGTTTCCCTCTCCAGGAGGCGCTTCGATCGACGATGAGTTTCGAGTTTCGAAAAGGTCGAATATTGTATCCGGAGAAATTAATTTCGAAAGTATATACGATAAAGAGCAATAAAGCGTGGTTTAATTAAAATTATATAACAACGATAGTGGGCGGGATGCATTCGAAATTGAAGAAATTGAAGAATCGGGGTGGAGGACGATATCGTCTGGCAGGATTATTAAGACGAAAGGAGAGAGGGGGGAGGTCGCATCGGTGGAACGAAGTAGCCGGGAAAACGATGGAAGCTGGAATAGCATGGATAAGTGCACTTGACCTCCTTAGAGTAGCGGCGTAGAGTGCACGCTGCCTGTTACGTTCTCCGTCCGACTTATCAGCTCGGTACGATGCCTTTGTTCGATCCTCTCAACACCCGTCCTCCGTTACGTTTCTCCATCTTCTCGGTCGGCGCGAACGGATAAAGATACTCGAGCCGACCAATGTTTCCACAGTACCATTTTTCTAAAATACCACATGTCGAAACTAATTGCTCGAAAAAAGAAAGGGGGCCAATTTATTTTTGCTCGAAAAAAGAAAGGGGGCCAATTTATTTTTGCTCGAAAAAAGAAAGGGGGCCAATTTATTTTTGCTCGAAAAAAGAAAGGGGGCCAATTTATTTTTGCTCGAAAAAAGAAAGGGGGCCAATTTGTTTTTGCTCGAAAAAAGAAAGAGGACCAATTATTTTTGCTCGAAAAAAAAGGAAGGGGGCCAATTTGTTTTTGCTTGAAAAAAAGAAAGGGGACCAATTATTTTTGTTCGAAAAAAGAAAGGGGGCCAATTTCGAAAAAAGAATTTATTTTTGCTTAAAAAAAAAGGAAGGGGGCCAATTTGTTTCTGCTTGAAAAAAAAAAGGAAGGAGGCCAATTTGTTTTTGCTTGAAAAAAGAAAGGAGGCCAATTTGTTTCTGCTCGAAAAAAGAAAGGGGACCAATTATTTTTGCTCGAAAAAAAAGGAAGGGGGCCAATTTGTTTCTGCTCGAAAAAAGAAAGGGGACCAATTTGTTTTTGCTCGAAAAAAAAGGAAGGGGGTCAATTTGTTTTTGCTTGAAAAAAAGGAAGGGGGCCAATTTGTTTTTGCTTGAAAAAAAAAAGGAAGGAGGCCAATTTGTTTTTGCTTAAAAAAAAAGGAAGGGGGCCAATTATTTTTGCTCGAAAAAAGAAAGCGGGCCAATTTGTTTTTTGCTTGAAAAAAAAGGAAGGAGGCCAATTTATTTTTGCTCGAAAAAAGAAAAGGGTCAATTTATTTTTGCTTGAAAAAAAAAAGAAAGGGGGCCAATTTGTTTTTGCTCGAAAAAAGAAAGGGGACCAATTATTTTTGCTCGAAAAAAGAAAGGGGGTCAATTTGTTTTTGCTCGAAAAAAGAATTCTTTTTGCTTAAAAAAAAAAGGAAAGGGGCCAATTTTGTTTCTGCTTGAAAAAAAAAAAGGAAGGGGGCCAATTTATTTTTGCTCGAAAAAAGAAAGGGGGCCAATTTATTTTTGCTCGAAAAAAGAAAGGGGGCCAATTTGTTTTTTCTTGAAAGAAAGAAAAAGAAAAAGGAAAGAGTCGATTAAATGAAACTCAGAAAGGGGAAAGAAATATAAAATAGTCGATCGAGCAGGTTGATTCGTTTAAAGCATTCGTTCAGAGGGCGAGCATATATCCTTGGATCGTAATGGCCTTAAAGACCGGCCGCATACTTTCACTAAGAAAATGGCAACTGGTTCCCGGAATATATCGTGCGACCCGCGTGTGCCTCGCTCGCGAAGGTAAATCCAATGTCGCGGAGGCTGTGTATTTATGCATTGCGAAACGCGATCGATTGCTCGAGAATATCGAAGTTATTTCGTGAGAGGATGCAAGATGGAGATCCATAGGAGATCCATTTCTTCCTTTCTTTTTTCTAAATCGAGGAAATAATCTTAGAAGCATCTCTTTTAATTCTCTTCTCTCCATAATAAATAATAATAAATAACAATAATTTAATTCTCTCCATATTTGGAGTAGTGAGAATTACAACGACAAGCGGAAATAACCCTCTTCGAATATTTTTACACTCACCATAATAATACATAATTCGAAAATTTGTTTGAATACGTCGAGAATTTCCATCGATCGGACCAAGTCTCGCGCGAATCTACGACTACTCCCCCCCTCCACACGTCTCTTCCTCCCGCCCATGGAAAACTCGGCTCGCCCATAAATCGAAAACGAAATTTAATCAAGCCTCTGAAAATGTACGCGAGGGAAAGTTGCGCGAGCGTAATACAATTTTTCATCCATTAAAAAATGAAAACGAATGTTTAAACGGTTGCCTGGGCGCGACCAATTTCGATCGCCTTCCTGCATTTATCGAGTCGTTTCCAAACGGTCGTCAAATTATTTCGACGCAGATCCCTCTTTCACGAATATATATATATATATATATATATATATATATACTCAAGTCTAATTCGATCAATCCTCCGGCGAGGAACACGGAATATCTCGTCCTGAATTCGGCGTAGACGTTCCCAGATTATCCAGGAATAGTCGACGCCGCTTAATCCCCATTAAAAAAAACAATGGAATGGTACGAACGCGTTCGATCGTGGCGCAAACTTGCGCCTTTACATTTCGCGAAAATTAATAAAATGAATTGAAATAAAATTTTCCTCCTCGTCGTAGGGAAAAAAGGGATGGTTTCGAGACACGGTTCACAACCTATTTTTGAAAAAATAGAGAGAGAGAGAGAGAGAATTATTCTCGAGCAGATTCGTCTCGTTTCCCGACAAATTGAAGGGGGAGGGAGAGAAAAAAGGATCGAGAACACGAGTGGGCGAAAGGTTGAACAGATGATGATATAAACAAATTATAAATAAAACATCGAACATCCAGGCGTTATATAGATGGACCGTGTCGTACACGACCCGCGACGCCGTTCCGTCCCCCCCCCCCCGCCTCCCCCCACACCGCACTGTAACTGACTGCTTTGAATTTCATGAGGGTGCGAATGAATTCATGGTGGGATGGGGCGCGCGTGGGTTCGCCTCCCTCGACGACTTCAAACACCCTCTTCCCCTTCCACCCTCCCCCCCTCCTCCCTCCCTCGCAGGAAAATCCAGAGGAATCCAGCCGTAATTGGAGAAATAATAACGAGCGTATCGTATTCGTATATATAAGATTCTCCCTCTCTCTCTCTCTCTCTCTCTCGCTCTTTGTCTTTGTCTCTCTCGAAATGTCAAATGGAGGTTTCGCACGGAGGAGAGA